ATAAATTATTTCATCAAAAATATTTACTAATTTCTAATATTCACGCTTCCGGTAATGAATTCTTCACTATAGGGGCTTGACAATGAAATAATTCCATATTCACTTCTCATCGCCTACCTGTAACATTTCTTAACGCCATCGTCAAGAATAATCGACCTATAAAAAACTTATTATTTATTTCCACTAGCTCCGAGAGTTACTGGGCATGACTTCTTTTATGATATACCACAAGCATTCGATGATGAAAAAGTTGAACCAGGGGCGGATAGGGAATAGAGAGTGAAGTTACCCCATCGATGTAGAGTATATTATCTTCGGTGAACTGATTTTTAGAAAATTTTGTTCACAGGCAGTACCGGGTGTCAACTATTAGACAGGTTATAACGTCTAGAGTATTTGGTAAATGGTATGTAAAGAAAATAGTTTTCGCATATTTTTCACTTTCCGGTCACTTCTGGTTTCACTAGCAATGACTCCGGTTTTGAATTTTCAAATGAAATATTTTTAAATTTAAATTGTATATCATAACATGTCCGGAGTTTTAGTGAGTAGTGCGATAGATGGTGATGAGACAATTAATGGCAGAATTACATTCTCGTGTTCAATTATTATTCATCAATTAGCGACCATTTTTTGTCAAGCACTTATTCGTTATTGGAATAAAAATAAGAACATTGATAGTTTATTCACTCTCAAGTGTACCATGGATGATAGTAGTTTCATTCTGATCCAAAATTGTATAGAAATTTACATCATACAGGGTGTTTCATTTGAAGATTCAGTCATCACATTTCCGGTTAAATAGGAAATGACCAAAATTGAAGACTATATTGTATTCTTCACATACCATTCAACTTTATCAAATCTCATTTTCAAACTCCTAATATTCCAGATGTTATGACTCGTCTAATAGTTTGATACCCGGTGTAGTATATTTTTAACAACAGATATTTACATCCACAAGTTATTCAGGAAATTTTCTTGGAATCAAAATCTATGTCTGTATCAAAATACGTGGCCAAATATGATTAGACTAAAATTATAGGTGGTCGAGGTTTTCGAAATATTTTAGAATGCTAATCTTGAACAACTCACTTGAAAAAGTTTTCATTTTTTTCAGAGTAATTTCATGAAAATAGAGTAGGAATTTGAGCTGATTTTTTTTGCATATATTTATTGTTTATCCTGGATCATTTTTCATTCCTGATCTACCACCTTGAAGTTTCCATAGCCATAGGTCTTTTCTAATATTCAAACTTATTATGAATTTCATAATTACATTATATTAAAGTTGCAGCAAAAATTTGTGATTCACAGTTCATTTGTTACTTGGTTCATTATAAAATTATCGAGTCTTATGTTTGGTTCTTAGATTTTTTTTCCATTTCATCAGTTTCCCAATGAATTTTGTTATTTTGCGACTAATTTATAATTTTTAAAATATTCTGTTTTGTTCTGGGTCCGTCCCTGAGTGAAACGATAAAGCGCGACGAAACGTATTATACAGTGGCTGTCTGATGTATTTCAAAGTCTCCCCTGTCCAAAACCTCGAATTGAAAAAATACTGACTTTCGAATCATTCGAATGAAACATGAATGAATAGCACGAAGCACAAATAATGTTCGTGTGATTAGAAATGCCATGAGATGAGAGAAAAATCGACGTCTCATCTGTCATCTCTTCTTTCAAGATCTTCGACTCATAATCGAGACGATCCAGAGTATGTCAACTTTCATTGTTGATTTTTTGGAAAATATTGTATCGATGTCAGCACCTGGATCTCCAATCAAAACAAAACAATTCAACCGAATCCGGTTGGACATTAACCGCGTTGGAAAGTTTCTATACAGGGTGAAATTCTGAAAACTTCCCACCCTCAATATCTAGAAAACAGGTAGATTTTATTTTCAAGAGGGGCACTTGAAATTATAAGTTTTAGCCCTCTTGGTTCAACCCCCTGGAAGGGGGGATGTTCTAATTACTACTATGAGTTCATGACGGCATTTTTCGGAAACTGCACTGAGAAAACAGTTTATTCATAGTTAACGAAATTAATTAACACCTAATAAATCATTTATTCGAATATTGCGGAATAAACGTTTATTTGTTAGAAACAAATAATGCATTCAAATAATTCAAATATTCATCATTAATAGATAATTCATATTGATTTCCAATAAATATATGTCTCACTATAGATTTATCAACTGTAAATAAAACTTTATTCATATTAAATGAAGAATATTCATTAATATTATATATGTCATTACCATTTAATAAACACATTTTTATTATTAATATGTTTTATTCATTGAAAATAAACGTTTGTACATAACAAACCTCAGAATTTTTTCCTGATAAATAGCGAATATTTTCAATAACTCATTCAGTCCTGATGATGGTTCCACTTGAGAGAGGTAGATGTTGAGGTTGAGCCACTTTCGTCATTTTCCTCAATTAACATCTACCCCTCCTAGGAGGGTAGATGTTAATTGAGGAAAATGGTTCCCTTGGTGAAACTCGACACTGTGTTCCGTTGTCGAAATATTCCGATTTGAAAATGATGAAGAGATAACTGTTGCTGGTATAAAGCTATGTATTAGAGTGAGTATTATAAAAAATCATCAACTATTTATTGCAAACCGAAAAAAACAATACTTTTCCAATGCTAAACTTATTGATTTAACAATGATTCACAAGAATAACATTGAAAAAAAATTTTACCAAAAACATCCGATACCTACCTCCTGTCCCTATCCTCCCTAGGAACGCACGATGTTTTTTGAACATTATAGGGATTCCCTTTCGTGCGCTCCAAGCGATAAAAAAAACACAGTTTCGTTGTATCAAGCAAAAAGTGTATGCTACAGAAGTAAATTCACGTCTGGAGTTGCAAGTCAGAATTGAACATCATTCAGATGACCTTACAGCTGATCCTCAACTGTTAATAAAAATAATGCTTCCATGAAAAAAAAAATATCGAATCGTGTATTCGTGGAAACGGAGGACATTTTGAACACTCACTCTAACTGATTCAATATTTTAGGTAAAATATTTCTCAATTTTCTACTTGTGATTCTTTGTTCAATCAATAACCACAGCACAAAAATTATGTTATTGTTTTTGAATCTGAATAAACAAGTAAATTGATCTCAATAAAATTCATTTTATACGAGCATCAGCTATTACTCTATTATTTTCAAATCGAAATATTCCGAAAACAAAACACAGTATCGAGTATTACCAAGAGTACCTCTTTGGTGTGAAATTGAAAGATGTTTGAGTTCACATCAAATTTGTGTTGGAGAATCTAACTTCAAAAAAGTTATGTTTAAAACTATTCGGTACGAACCGTGTAACTAGCGCCCTCTATGAGAGTCAGATACAAAAACAAATGCATGCGATGTGTCAGGTTCCAAAACACATCTATACAAAATTTCATCACAATGTTGCCAGTAGTTTCGACGTAATCGTGAAAAATGTGTAAAAAAATCATTTTTTCAACACCTTGTATCTTGAAAACGGATGCCGTCACGGCATTGTTTTACTGAATAAACCAACTTATTTTGCAGTGTTCTACCTACCCTATCAAGGGGGTTAGGTTTTTTGAAACACTCTGTATATCTTGTGAAGGTAGTTTTGGACGAAGGAAGTGCCATGTTTGATGAAACTCATAAAACAGATTGTCCCACTGAGAACCATGCAATATTCCTTGATTATTTATTTATCCCCCAGTATATTTATTATTCTACTCATACTACCTGAGTCGTGAGTAATGTAAATATTTATAAAAGAAGCGAATATTAGTGGTTTTATACCAACATAAAGTTAGGTTTATAAATATTGTGGTAAGCATATTATAATTGTATTATAGACATGGTATCTTTAAAGTTATTGCAAGTGTAAACACTTATTTTATAGGAGATAATACAATACAATTAGATGCGTTTTTATTTTTGTGATTTTTGAGAATTAATAAAATAACCTTTAGGAAAAATCTAGAGGAAATGTATGGGTGAGTAATGTGCCCGAAAGCATGTTGAACTGTGTGAGGGATGAGGGATGTGATAACACCCTGTACACTCGCAAATGTAGTCATTGTCAATAATGAACCAAATCATTCGAAGCAGAGTCAGCTCCCTATAAAGATTCTCGTCCTTAAAGGGATGAAGGGTAGATCCCCTTTTGGTTGCCCTAGGAGAGCTCGAGTCTGCTTTGACAGAAGTGATTCTTTTATCATCATTAAAATTAATGGGTCGCTACCACACCCCATGATTCATTTTATTTCTTCTGGAAACAGCAGTGGCGTCAACTCTTGCATCAGACTTTTGGTGGGTTTGCTTATTTTTGTATGGATATAGTACACTGCTCATCTGAAAACAATGCGCCCTGAATAACTTCTGAATTGTTTATTGAGATAAATTCACAATGGAAATTGAAACAGAAAATTCATTCAATTTCTCAGATTTGATATAAGTGAAATCCGAGATAAACAATATTTATCAATATTTGTTCATGAACCTCTTTCAGAGGAAAATTTCATTAAAGGACTGAATATCCTGAAACAGATTGCAGTCAACAAGAGATACAACGTTGATTCTATATTCTTTCTAATAGTAATTCCGTAATGAAGCAATTAGAATGTTCATGCTATGTTATGCCCAGTTTGGGTTATTTCTTTGGCGACATTTTGCGCCTTAATAAAAAATAAATTAGAATAAGGGCTAGTGGTACCTCTAGTGAATCTACTGATAGGTTCCTGCGCCGCCATCACTATGCAGGTTCTTTTAATAAGTACATGTTGGTCAGATATCCTTTGGTGATAAAAGATCGATAATTGATTGGGGATAGGTTTCATATTTCAAAAGTCAGCCAATTTCTGGTATACACTTTGAAAAGTGTTGAGATTTTCCCCTTGGAAATCTAGCATCGTCACTATTCGCAATAGAAAATGATTAAGAGATTAGGGGACTGTGTGTGAGAAATAAATGTCGGCATCTATTGATAATACCTTCTATTTTATTGGTATAACAATTGTTTTCCAGGTAAAACGGTCATTCGATATTTATTCGAAATTTATGAAGTTCTAAAATCCTACTTTCTAAAATACAAGTGAGCAAGAATAATACTATTTGGTAGGTTTTCACAATCCTAGTTCCACAACCCTCAAATTGAATCTAATTTCATCTGATCTAATAAAATCATAGCATAATGAAATTTTATCATCTTGGTGATTAATTTCTGGCAGCTTTCGACACTTTGTCATAAACTTCCGGGAATGCTTCACGACAATTCAACTGGCTTCTCAACTTGTCGTAGAGAGAGTGGTCGAACATCTCCCTGAATTCTTCTTTGGTCATATACGTGTCTGCATAAAGCATCTGAAATCTGGAAAAAATATGTTCTGTTATTTGTATATTCAATATGACGACTTATCAATTACGTTCAGGAAAATGAAATATGGTGGTCATATGAACTAGTATCAATATGATATTTCACATGACCACTATTCATTATCGAAGATCTGTTGATATTTAACTGCGAGATGGTGGTTTTGATGGGTTCATAATTTCAGCAAATGAAATAAAAATTAAACTGAATAAAATGAAAAGACAACCAATTAATTATTTTCTGATTTGGGATGAGACGACTCTTGGAATAGACTTCATCATGGAGTTTCATGTTTCATGGGGAACACCTGACACCTGACACCAGTTAACGAGATAATATATGCTTTTACATAAGAAACAGATTATCTATATCATATGGAGAGAAATAAGGAATGAGAAAAGTTGCGAATGCTTACTACCTACCTACTCGAAAGCAGTAATGACAAGACGAAAATAATTAAGGACGTGATAAAAGAGGAAATTAGATAATAAAATAAGGAGAGTGGTGAACTCGACCCTCTACCTTCTATAGACAGAAAATCACGATAACTTTGTAGAGATCGGATTAAATTGATATTTACAAAGACGAAATCTTTATAGAATCTCTCATCTATCTTTGGTGGAACATTTTCCTTTTATGGTGAATCATTTGTTGGAAATTGTTATTCATCTCGACCCCCCTTGAAAGGTCCTGTGGAATGACCCATAAAAGTTTAATGAATCTCATTAGGGAACTATACGTTATCTTCGTCTTCCACTAATGATTGTCTTCATTTCTATATGAGAACTTTCTATTGAAAATATGTAGAAGATTCAGCAATTTTGTTTCTATAGCTGCCATAGCTCCCCTTAACTCCTAATTGATTCTATTCACTGTGCACTGGCAAATTTGTTTAATTCATTCCCATTATCCAGTTAAAGGGTCTATCTGTGAGAATGCGCGTGAAAAATTCATAATAATTAAGTATCATATCAGTTGATTGTTAATTGGCGCATTCAAATTGAGGGGTCACGACCCCGCTTCATAGGCGTAGATGAGGGGATATTTGATTTGAGGCATTAAATTAGAAGAGAAAGACGTATTATGACCATTTTTCCCAATGTTATGCTATTGTCCCTACATAACACCTTGTTGTATTATAGTTATTTATACACCAAGGTAGTAAAGAATATCATTATTACTCATCAGGGACCAAGATTATACCCCGAGGCTTCAGCCGAGAGTATAAGGGGTATAAGTAATGATATTCTTTACTACCAAGGTGTAAATTACATTTTTTTCACCATTAGCAATATATTTCAATTATTATAGTTCTGTGAATCTGAAATATTTACCTATTCGTCAGTATAAAAGCACTTATTTTCAATTCTTATCAAAATCTAGTAGCTATGACTGCATATGACAAGTCATCGAGTGCCATTCCTGCGAATCTAGCATCATCCGGGTTGATTTTAACAGAGGTGGCTATCTCTTTATTTGACTAGGGGTTCATAAAATGACGAAAACTACCTTGGTAGAAAATTAGTTTAATTTTACGAGACTTACCACATACTCATACTTAGTGTTTGTTATGTTCTCAGCAAGTGCTAAGTAACATGCATCGATATAGAAAACTGTAAATATCTCGAATGTTGTTGAGGAAGTGTACCTTTTTTACTTGGAAAAGGTGTGGGAATAAGGTTTTTCCATAGAAAGTACCAAAAGTTTACTGTCAAAAATGTTAGGGCAATTTCAAATAAATAATGACAGCGTACGCAGCGCCCTGTATAGATGATACATGAAGATTAATACGAAATTATGATTTCTCACAGCAAAAAATCCCGGGTACCAAATTTCGTGCAAATAACTTATTTTTTGCAAAATTTATTTCAAAAAAGCGAAAAAAAAACAATTTCAACATCCTGTATTTCCGAAACGAAGCATTTCCGGACACAAGTTTAAATTGACTTTTTTTCTTGAAATTGTCTTGGGAATACGTCACTCGAATATTTCAACGCACTTATGTTACACCCTGTATACACTCACCGGCAAAAAAAAACCGGTCAGCAAAATAATTAGCCAAATTGGTCACCCTGTAACTTTTTCGGTTATCGTCCAATTTTGGTGAAATTCCGACCAAATTGTAGATTTATGTGTCGAAATGTTAACCTTAATTTTAGTGACCGAAAAAGCTGATGACTTGATCATTATACAGGAGAAAACTAAAGTTACTATTTCACATTTAACTTCTTAACGCCCTGTGGTAAAAGTGAATGATTAAACTGAGCTTCATCATGTTATGGATTGAAGTGTGATCCCTTCTTAACGCAATGGTTTCTGATCCTTTTTTATGTTCTGGTTCCCACGAAAAGGGATATCCTGTAATGTGCAGAGAACATCGTGAAAACCAAGGGAAATAAGGTAGGAATTGGTGTTCTTCTTAAATTTCTGGAGGTTATATGCCTCGGGGAACACTTCCCTTGGCAATGTGTTCCAGAGCCTGGCTGTTCGTTGGATGAACGAGTCTTTGGAAAGAGATGTTCTGCAGGTCTCCAAAGTGACCACGAAGAGGTGCGAAGCCTCAACTCGACTGGTTAATCTCGCGGGGACTGCCAATGGAGGAACAATTGTTGATATTTCAGAAGAGCATCGTCCATGAAAATATCTATAAAATCGGGCCAGATCGCCAACTTTTCTACGGCGTTCCAGAGAAGTGAGTGAGTTTGTGAGCGAGGCATCACCCACGAGACGAATGGGCTTATATCACAAAAAAAATTTATTTCATAATTCGATAGAACTCACCCAAACTAGCTCACCACCGCAAACCGTTTCTTGCTGTGAGCTCCCTACGTTTAATAAAAAATTATTGAAATCCCCGATTTTTCGGACCCCTGAAAACGAGGTGATGATGTGACGTCAAAACCCTAATACTGAAACAAGACTATTCCAGACAGATGAATGATACTTGATTTCTGACAGAGTGAATTAGCGAGAGATCACAGTCGAAGGAATTAATATATCAGTTGCCTCAGTCTCCGTCGGGCGTTTGGTATTTTCTTTCAACTATGGCGAGATGAGGTTTCTACGTCATAAGACGGTCAGTTTTCAGAAGGTACTATTATTTATGTCCAAAAATAAAACATTCCAGTTAATTTTTCGATCGAATTATGTCGTCAATCATCATTTATGTATAAAAGGATCATTATAAACATGGTTTGAGTTAAAAGTTCTACCAAGGTGTACACGCCCATTGCCCTTTTTTGGACAAAATCCAACAGTTTCAGGGTATGTTTGGGTGCTGCACTCCAAATATGGAAACAATATTCCAGGGCAGGTTGGATCCGTTCCTTATAGATCATAAGCAGCTGACCGGAAGTGAAATAGCTCCTGGCCAGAAACAGAAAACCAAGTTTTTGGGATGCACTTTCCGTAATTGATCTCACGTGACTTTCCCAAGAAAGGTTATTGCTGATAGTGATATACCAAGCATACTCCTGACAAGATTATGTTGGGCACAGTGAGATCGGCCGGTGTTTTTCCAACAAATTTGTGTGTCGCAATCGAAATAGATATGATCAATTTCACAGCACTAGTGATTAATTTTTGAGATCGGATATTTAGGCTTGACATAATGCAGATTTGCTCCTGCTGAAACATTTTCGTGGGTTGTCCATGTGTCACTTTGTACTAATTAATATGGGCATAACCACTTAGAATGTTTGAAGTTATTATAACACTAAATTAATAGGTTCTGAATAATTTTGGCTAATTTGTGAACCAAAAACTCACACGTTAATTAGTTATTGTACTGAATTATATAAAAGGCGTTGACAAATTTGTAGGATTCAGTAGACATTTCACCAAAACGGTGGACAGTAAATTGAGAGACATCACATTGAGATTGTCGATATTACTCCGGACCTATAATCAGTGACGTAACTCCAAAATTCAGAAGGTTTAGGAAGGGGAACAATTCAGATTGAAAATGAATACGAAATTTTCTTGAGTTCAAGGGCAAATGCTAGAGCAATTATCTATGTTGATATTGTGACAGTAAAATGTTTTTTTCCAATGAATAGGATAACAACAATAAAATTGAAGATTATTTCAGTGCGTCCCGGCTATGAAGAGATTAACATATTTTTTCAGTGTTCGGTTTCAGAAGACGTTATAAGATTCAAGAATTAACAATTATCTATAGGAGATTAGGCTATACCTATCATAGCTATAGAATAATCGAAAAAGGCTTAAATAAAGAACATTAAAAGAGAAGAGAAGATTAATGGAATGAGAACAATTATGGTGTTTATCTGATAGTGGTCACATGGTATATTTTCATCCACACGACTACTCGATCAAAATTAAATCATCGGCCTTGGAGAAAAATCGGGCCCTGGAGTCGAATTATGAATAATTAATATTATCTTACCCATGGACTTCACGAATGAATTTTTCGATTTTTCTCGTACTAATTTCTGGATCGAAATTTTTCACTCGAGGAACGCCATACAGCCCGATGTCTACGTAAAGCTTCGCCGTATCCATAGACGCAGGGTGTACCATTCCTGGATTAGGTGGCAGTATAAAAGGGCACAGCCAAATCGGGAAAATGTCGAAGGTGTCCTTGAAAATCTTCATACTTTCTGGCAGATTTTCAACCGGGACTAGCATGTCCTGTATCACGTGATTGTTCTCGTACAACTTTTTAGTTGCTTCTGTTTGGGTCAGCTTCAAGAGAGACACTTTTGGTGGTACCAGCCACCCTAGAAGGTATCTGAAGATGACGTTGTTACCAAATGGTATTATATCCTGCAACACAACATTTCACTTGTACCTCTTATGAATATCAAGAAAGTATATTTTCTTCGAAAAATAAAACATGGAGCGAAGAATACATAGATGCAAATACGGTCCTTGAGAGTTTGTAATCGTTTTCAACGCATTTGAAAGCTGTTTTAGTGGAAGCCATAAAAATATCGAGGAGAGCATGCGAAAATATTTCATAGTTATTCACCTGTAATTCCCAGAATATCGATCTGGTATGTCTGTGATAATAATCCCTCAAGGGTATGTATTCTACAGTTTTATTTGTACTTTGGAGTTTATCTCTGACGTGGACGAAGAACCATGGTTTGTACCACCTACCAATTGAGTTGATCTAAAAATAGAACACGACTGAATTCCTTCATACTTCCTACTCAGATTTTTACCTTTCCTGGCTCAGGTTCATCAGTTTGTACTCCGATCATCACCACAGCAGCGTCCATCCCATATGCCAGGGTCTCTACGAACTCATTTTCCAGATTCCTACTAGCCTCCTCAAACTTCTTGACAACATTCTCCAAACCAGTCACAGGTTCATAGGTCAGTCTTACGTATTTTTTGGCAGGTACCATCTTGATCTCCACCGCGGTCAGTATACCTAACGTTCCATAGGACCATGGTACCGACCAAAACAAGTCGGAATTCTCATTCGCTGAGCATTTGACCACGCTACCATCGCTCACAACTAGCTCATATGATACACAAATGTGTTGGAATAGCCCGTGGATGTGAGAGGAAGATTCGATACCGGTCCCCATTACTAACCCTCCAACGGTTAGGTCGTCTATTTCTGGTAAAACTGGAATGGTCCAACCCTTTGGGTTCAGGGTAGCTGTCAGCTGACCCATCGTTACTAGTGGTTCCACTTTTACCACCTGAAAATCATGCTGGCTGTCTAAACAAAATACTTCTGTATTAGTAATGATAATATAAATATTTGCCTTGAGATAGCAGTTTTCTGACGGTGAAGCAGATAGTCAGATATATGTTTCCGATCTATAGGTATATGGAGACCAGTAGCCATCTTGAGCGACTTTGGCTGAATCGCACTATCCTATTTTTATAACGAACCTAATGAAGACCAAGGGTCAAAGTTTCTCGTAGGTGGTAAGACGATGCTCATTTATGGTAAAAGGCAGTCATGTCAAAGATTTTGATAATGGTTTCTTTTATGTCGTTTTCATTGATATTGCGATTCCACTCGAAATATATTTCCATGATGTTTTGGTTACGATAATGAAAGAGAAATTTGGCTAGTTATGTTATTTTTACAGTACTTGAACCAGTAATTGTTCTAAGTAACGGTAGTTGAATAACCCAAATTTGTTCATTATGTTTCTGTGCGCCTACTAGCTACACTGAAACTGATGATCGATTATCTGTCGTATAATAACATTTTAGTTCAATCGCATGGCGGATATGTGATGTAATGATCGTCATCCATAATTGGATGACATTTTTATTCCATTATCTACGTTTTTTACTAACATGAATAATTGATATTTAATTCGAGATACCGATATTTATCATTATTTCAAGAACAAATTTTGTTAATAACAAGCAACATAGTTGCGTGCTATTTTGCGAACAGCGTTGGATTTCGCACAGGTGATGATGACGGGTAATGTATTTCAGGACAAAGTAAGGTTGTGTTTGGAATATACATTGATGAGACTAGCATCTGGGTAGATAACCGAAAAGGTTGGCCTATACCAAAGAAGGGAGGAAGGAGACATTGAGACTGAATAGGGGATAACCAAATGGAAAATTCAATGAAGGTAGCCATCAGAAAGCAGATGCGTCGAAGTTATTTTCTTGAAAATTTTCCAGATAAATTCCCTAAAGGAAGAAATGACACTTTCTCATGGTGTCGTCCCATTCCAAGTAGAAATACCGAGAAAATAATAGACATTATGATTATTGTGTTACCAAAAATATCAATTGAGAAATATTTTATTATTGAATATAATCGTTTTGTGCTCGTGTACAAAAATTATTTAAATACGGCCCTGATTGAGATCATTATGAAAAATGGTAATTGAAGTATGTACATACATCGATGTTCTAGAATTATTTGAATAGGCACAGTTGAAAGTATTTAGTTGATTTATTTTTCCTTTTTTTTCTGCTACCAGCTCTGCTATCTGCTTTTATAAAAGAAAACTTGTTTCTTTACTACTGGCCAGTAATTAAATTTACACCCTACTAGTTGGAGATAAAATCAATCATTGTCATCGTCTATCCTGTCTGAAATACTCTGAATTTGATCATAATTTGAAATATTCATCTGACAGCTCTCAACGACTTACAATTCCAGCATTAATAATTAAAGAAAAGTAATTTAGGTGAAAACAATTTTGTATTAGGAAGGTGTATATTCTAGTAGTCGAAAGAGTAATATATAAACCACGGTACAGAGGACTATCTCGCCTGTCTTGCCTATTGTCCCCAATGCTGAAGCATTCATTTCGGCTTGAAAGAATATCTTCTGTATATAAGTATATGTATATAGTATATAATTACTATTAAGATACCTGTCTCACAGCATCAATGTTCAAAATGTCAACAAGATTCACTTCGATTTTGGTCATGTAATTCTTATATACCGGTGTCCTGAATGACATAGTTTGCCAACCTGGCCTGGCTGTACACATTTTGGTTTTACGGCCATTTTCATCCCAGTTTAAAACCTGAAACCAATGGGTAAATCAATGTATCACTATGCGAATTCAAACCACAACATCCATGTATTTAAAAATCATTGCATGAAATTAACTTCGCTATCCTACAGTCACTGACTTTGTAGGGCTCTGAACAAATCTGTACTTATTATAATAATTATAATACATATTCATACAATCTGGTGAAATTGGGATGTATTACATTGCGGATTTTGTAACTTTTCTTCCAGCATGTAGAATGTTGGAATACATTATTTATATAGTATATATTATATACGAGGTTAATATATGATGTTTTTAATTTTGACCACATGAAGTATTGATCTTGTCGAGTACTATGTCTCGAAATCCTATCTTTTTTTGAATCGATCACCGCGTTTCAAGATATGTTGATGTTGGTGCTGTCATTTTGAAGGAGATTATCAACAAGATTTTCATATTACTATGTGAAAATTAACGACTTCATATCCTAAATATATATATAACTTTTATGCCATTCGCTTTCAACGAGACATGTAGTGTTTGAAATTTGAATTACAAAAATATTACATTTTCTCATCCTCCTTATTGCGTCGTTCCTGAAATACCCAGAGGAAACTAAATCTTGTGTTTTCTTCTGTATCACATTTTTTTTATTAGGTAATTGGGGGGTGGGAATGATATATGAAAGTGTTGGAATTGTATTTTTCTCTTATTCTCAATGGTATGAAAAATATGATGCACATAAGGAATCAAATGTTTATATGAAATCATGAGATTTAGAAGGCATAGAAAATTGAATATGAAAAACGCAAAATATATATGAGAAACGACTCAAGATGTAATTTTGCTAGATTATTTGCGATTTTCTCTCCTCGTTTCCATAAAATAAAATATGAGTATTATTTCAATATACGTGTAGTAGGACAAATCATATCATTTTTTTTTCAAATTCTTGAAGATCGAGCATTAAAGTGTGTAACTTCAAGTGACCATCCTGTATGCCAAAAACCACTTATCGTTCGCCCGACTTCAAATTAATATTCAGATATCCAGTTTCAATCAGAGGTAAGAGAACTATAATCATAGTCCATTCCCAGTGTTATTTTCTTTTATTATCAATACTATTAATACTAATCAATAGTAGGTATTAAACGATGGTATATAGATCGAAATTAAATTTGCATGTAGGTATGCATTTTATTGTTCATTGACTATTTTTTAATGATGATTGAATGTTTGTTTTTCATGCTTGCGGGTCGAATCCAGTTTCAGAAAACTTCTTGAGCGAATAATTCCGGTAATTTCTTTAGACGGAAAGGATGTATTTAAAAAGCTCGCGGTCAGTCGGATAATTTTCATCATAATTCGATCGGACTGCTATGTAATAAAATAAAAAAGCTCGACCTGGCTCTATCTCTGTGGTTGAGCGGTCTCAACCAAAATTATAATAATTAGCCTACCTGGCCAAAATCGCTTACCTGTTTCTGCACGTGTTTCACTTTGTTATTATGCTGTTGGGGAGCGCTGCTCAGTTTCAAGACCAGCCAATTCCTTAGGTACAGCCAAATATTGAACACGAAAGACACCGGCAGCAGAAATAAACACACAAAAACCCATCTGTAATGTACTAAGATGTATTCCACGAGATTATCGGACCTATGGACCATCTCGGACATAAGATCCTAGGCTGTATGCTTTGACCTCTGGGCTCTTGAACTTGAAATAAGCGCTCAGAGTGTAAGGTAGCTTTGAATTTGCGCAGTCGCAGTTGGCACCTTTTCGCGTGCTTGTTGGTAGGAGTTGGTACATAGGTAGGTGGTAGCACCACAGTGTAACTTCAATTTAAATCATCATTGGACTTTGAAAATATTTAGGTACATTAGGTCTCCACCAATTTCTTCTTCCTGTGGAATTCGAAGTCATTCTTTCATGAGGCCGTTTTATCACATTAACCAGTGGTGTACCTATGTAATATACCTATGCTAACCTAGCTGTGTACGTTAGAACGCTCATGTTAAAACACAATTCAAGTAGGTACCTACCTGACTTTGGAAACGCACTACCGGTTGTTCTCTGAAATACGTGAGGACAGGTAGGTACTTCAATCATTCATCATATTATTATATTGTGAAGATCGCCGTAAGCCGTAGTTCGCTACAGCGATTTCAGAGAAAAAGGCAAATAAAATGATTTGAAACAAAATTTTTTTCAATAGTTCTACACAATCATATATGAATTTGTATCTTTCAAATATACTGATATATTGTTTTTGCTTCGTTGGATTCTCCTATTTTTTCTGAATTCTACTTTGTATCACAACCCAGCCAACACATCTGTGACATGACACCTCTGAGATGTCGCGTTTAGGTAACAGTGCGATATCACAGACGTTCCATCGCTGCGATGTTCATGAGCAAACACATCGATATTACGAATGTTAAATCGCTGCGATATACAGAAGCAGACAAATCTGCGACATGACATCTCTGAGATGTCGGGATGAGGCAACACTGGGATATTACGAATGTTCCATCGCGTGGATGTACAGAAGCAAACACATCTGCGACATGACATCTCTGAGATGTTGTGATGAGGCAACGATGCGATATCACGAATGATGCATCGCTGCGATGTACAGAAGCAAACCCATATGCGAGAATTTTTCAAAAATTTTTCATTTAGATTCTTGTTCGGTGAAAAAGAATACATGAATATACGTTAACTCAACTAAGTGAAGCTGACTTCGCAAATATTTTTTACATTGCTATCAAGCTATTCTTGGTTTGCTTATATCTCGCCGACACACACTACATAATTTTTTATACAAATACAAATACAGATCTCATTCTGATGAAGATTCGTAGGTACCAAGGATAGAGCCGCTGAAAAAACGACTGACTGGACAGGAGACCCGAAGGACCACCAACCAGCACAGTAACACATATTCAATGTTAGATGTCATCAGAAATCAGTGGTGTACCAATTATCACTCCATGTTTGAGGACACTTTTTTTTTCAGTGTTAGAACGCATCACTTTTCTATCACAAATAACATATCGCAATAACATTGCATAACATATAATATCGCTATTATCGCTGTGACATCGCATTGATGAAACTTGAGTGGGACAAAATAACATCCCTCTTGACATCGCAACGACGTCTATGCGACATATAATGCGATATCACAGGTCACATCGCTGCGATATCTCTGTGATTTAACTGTGTTTGCTGGGAAGTTGATTGGCGAATAACTTCAAAAGCAATTCCAACTATTTTCAAAGTCGAGTTAGCCATGAAAAACAATAAATCAGTTTGAAGAGTATTTTTTTCCGTTGACTTCGTATTCACAAGTTTGATTAATGTAAACGACATTGATCGTTAATGACTATCCTATTAACAATCAATTCATCTATTAACGAACGTTTAATAAGGCATAGGCAACGAAACATACATTATAACTTCCGAAATTTACATTTACATTTGAATCGAACTTGGATTCCATCGGAAATGTATGTAGAAGTGTTAGTTTTTGAACGTTTCTGAACCGATGCTCATCCTCGTTTTCAAAAACATCAAAGGAATTTATTTTCCAAATTCATAATTTCGACAAATGTCAAATGTCAGTGACAAGTTGCCTTTCATGTCTATACTGGATGATTGTTCGTGAACCAAATTTTCTTCAGTGCAGGAGAAATATAATCAACGGAAAACATTTGTAACCAACTCGTATATTAATATATAAGGCAATTAATGATCTCGAACAAACTCGGTCGCTCCGCTCGCACATTGAAATATCCCTATTATTAATCGCCCTCATTAATACACTAGTTGGTTAAATATATTATTCAATTTTCAATTCTCATGGAATTTTTCATACATATTATATAAAAATGTAACTCCAATTTCAAATAATGACACATTATTGAATTCAGCGGAGGAAATATAATTTCATTCGGCGGAGTTACGGCATTTTTCTTTTTTCTTAGACAGTTGTTTTTCGGTGAGGACTTTACATGGAAATACTGTTCAAGTATCTTAAATTACTTCTTTTTTTTTTACTTGAAAACATGTTCCATATTTGTTTCTGTAGATTTCAAGATGTGATGTTGAAAAAAGTTATGGGTTATTGGTACCATGCTTTGTACTTGAAAACATATTCCATACTTATTTCTGTAGATTTTAAAGATGTAATCAGAAAAACAGTTCTTTGGTACCTCCCTCGTATTTATTGTTTATGAAACACCCAATATATCATTTAATATACGGATAGCGGTATGTCAAACTAGTAGGAAGATATGGACGAAAAACTCTTCAATATGCTCAGTGAAGTTGAGGGATTCTAAGTTATTCGAAAAGGTATTCTGTGGTCCATGCCCATGTATGACCATATGAGGATATTTCTGGTTATATCATCTTTGTTGTCGTTTGACATTCCCTCCATAAATAAATATAGAGCAAAGCTCTAGAATTCATTTCCTATGGAAGTATTCCCAAGATCTCATAATATCCAAAAGTTTTAAAAAATCCAATACCCACCTCCTCTCCCTATCCCTAGGTACGCATGATGTTCCTCGAACATTATAGGGATTCCCTTTCTTGCGCTCCAAGCATTAAAAAAATAGATATATTTAATGAAAGATGTCGATAGATTGTTTATGGGATGATCAACTGTTTTCCTTTCCGAATTTGACAGGGAGAATTGAAAATATCACAATCTAAAATAAATTTCATAACATGGTTACATAGAAGTTCGGGGGAGTTTAGGGCCTGGGAAGTGAGCAAATCCATATCAATAAAATTTAGTGCTATTTAACGGAAAACTGAATTGTTAGAACAAAGATGGGCACGTTTGTTTAAAGAGGGTAGAAAAATAGGCAGAAAAAACTGGGTATTTTAAAAAAATGGCACACAAATAGCAACAATGTTACGCCCCTGGGATTTGAGAATTTCTACCTACCAACCCACCTACCTACTACCTAAGAAAGAAATAAAAAAAATCATCGAATTGGAATGAACATAAAGATAAAGGTGTTCAGCTCTAATTGGTTTCTAATGAAAGTTAAATCAATATCTTATCAATGTTTATGATTAAGGCACACATTTTTCACCGAATCGTTGATATGATTCATCTTCAACTGTTGAATTTGTAAATTCTATGATTTCATTTGTGTGATAGCTTATGCGGAATGGGAATAAGTCAGAAAATATCTTTTACCCTGATACTTCCGAAATTTTATTTTGCTTCTAAAAGTCAACTCGAGTCCAACTCTATTTAATCCATATATTTTTCTAGACGCCATTATGTTCTCATAATCGGAAAAACTGATGTAAAATGCTATTAGCTCAATTGGCTTATCTGGTCACCCAATTCAATTTCGACCCACTCTGTGAAATATAATATCACACCAATAAAACCCAGTGCCGGTTTAAGGTGATTTGCCGCCTGGTGCTATGATGGACGCGCTGCCCTTCAGACTCAAAAATATTCCTTATCTTTCAGGTCTTTGGATTTTTTCCCATGACACATTTTTGAAGTGATAATGAATTCTATAGACACGCTGGACGTTTTCTGGGATGGGAGTAAAACGGCAAACTCGCGTCCCGGGTGCCGCGTACCATAAGACCGGCATAATCATATAAGCAGTGTACCTATACCATAGAAGTTCTACGCTCACCCGTTTGTTTTTTATAGAAGTTTGATGAACAAGATGAAAAATATAATATAACAAACAGGATGTTGTGGAATAAAATTAAAAACATAATTCTTTAGTGTTCACATAATGACTAACAAGGAAAATGAATAGGTATATGTTAGAATAAAAAAGAAAAATCAAATGAAAATAGGCAAGTGCGTAACTAGGAACATAAAGTAACAATACAAAAATGTGTTTTCTTGCATCAATGCAATCCTTTATGCATGATACTCTTCACGAGCTCTATACATTAGTTCCATTTAGTAGATCTTGTTTGAGTTGAGACAAAATTGTTAGCTCAAAAATTCCGAGAACAAATATTCATATTGGGGAAAGGAGATATTATATTACATTATTCACGTGTAGAACTTGGACCAATTCCATAATAGGAATTTCTGCTAGTCTCTAGGAGATAAATTGTTTTTTTCAGATGAATAACATTCGTCAGAAACAAATTTGTCCAGATCCTCTACATACTTTTTTTGTAGTTTATTAGTTATTAGTAATTTGATAAAATTTCCATCTTCTATACTGACACTATCTTGAACAGAAAGTCAAATGATTCTGAACAAGATTTGTAGGTGGAAGTCCGACGAAAAATTTCAAATCTGCAACTTAAAGTAAAACACTGCAATGTATGCCATTTTTCTCTCTGGTTCGAACTTTTTGCCGTATTTTTTCTCGTAATTGTGCTTTTCTTGGGATGATTCACTTCTTAACATAAATTTCAGTTTAGGTTATGTAGTGATCAAATCTTTCGCGTAAAAAATCAAAATATCCAGATAATGACTGATGACAAAATATGTGTAGCTGTATTTTCATATAGCCGCCCTGAAGATTTTGCCGCCTGGTGCTATAGCACCCAGAAGACCCCTGGTAAAACCGACACTGATAAAGTGATAAAACCTATAAATGGAACGACTCTGGAACTTATATAGGTTGTTATGACAACACTTTTCCATTTTCCAATGATCTGCTCACTCGGCGAAGCAATCAGCAGGCATATATTGAGAAATGAATGAAAATGGATAGCCTCTCGTGAACTGGGGGTAATAAAGTTCATACTGATACTGCTCTCGCCTATTGGCGCATTTCCTCTGTGAGGTCAGAGGTCAATGTTTTGCTGCTACTGCCACTTCCACCTTCCACAGTCGCGAAAATTGAATTTGGAGCGATGCGCCAATTGCGCTACATCTGAAACGACCATTTTGCTCTGTCTAGCTTCTTTACAAGATAATTTGCAGTTTTCAGATACCGAGGTGTTTTATTCATTCATTTTGTTAGGAACACTGGTGTACCCAAGAAGAAAGGGGCCTTAAGGGATTGAGCTTTCTCCCCTAGAATAATGCCGAAAATTCGAAAATATACTATCATTATGGCAAATTGGATATGGTTTTGTGCTGAAAAGACTTTCAAATCCCTACCGATTCAATTTCCGCTCTAGAAGAAAATTCGCCTGATATAGAGCATTAATAAATTTGAAAAATCAATACTTGATAGATACTCCGTCACACAAAATGCTGATGTACATTACCTGGTCTCCAAATATTTGATTCAGATCGAGTATAGAAATATATACTACTAGACAAACGCAAAAATTTCACTGTCACAGTTATATAGGCTGTATCGTCTGGAAGTAGAACATACATTTCACGTTATATATACACATAATATATCAATAGATATATATTCACCCCTATGAAAGTGTTATAATGAGAAAAATATTATAATTCAGACAAAATTTATGTGTGATGGATTCAGTCTGCTCTTTTCTTGAAAATGTAATCATGAACAATATTTTAGGCACAGAATCATTTATATCTCACCTGTAACATAAAGAAACAGCGATCGCCAAACATAGAGTTTCAAATATTGTTTCAAATTCTTCCATTATTGATAAAAAAAAACAGCAAAACGAAATTAATGAGCTCTATAAACTTCAGAATGGTTCAACAGAAACATTTTTTGACAGCTATAAAGCTCACCACCTTTGTTCTATCTCGGTAGAATTGAAAGGTAAATATCATGCCTTTGTACTAGTCTGTACTAGTGTCCGCTCTAAAATTAAACCCTTAGAAACGTAGAAACATGAAAAGTCTACAAACGGGAATAGGAATAATACATTTTGATACTGTATGAATAGTTCAAAAGCTAATAATCTATTTCTCTCTCAATCAAATGGGAAATGGGAATTTAATTCCACACATTCATACATCAATATCTAGAAAGCCTATTTCATTATCTTATTAACTCCAGGACATTGCTGGAGTTGTCTGATAAAATAACCCGATTCCACTCTTCATTTGAAATTATGTTATTTTCGAACATTTGATATAGAATGTATTCATTTTCATTGGCATATAATATCTCGAAACCTAGTAAATAGCTATAGGCATTCCGATTTTTTTAAACAGCAGGACAGGATATTCAATTTTCCTTAGGAAGTTCGATTCATATGTGACCCTCAGATCTCGTAGTATCTCTATAGACTCGTTCGATAATCCAGCCATTTATCGTTACTTCAATGCTTTCTAAGCCAGATCAATGCAATCTTGGATAGTCACTTGTGCAATATGCCTAATGCCCTAATGCTAGTGCATCAGGATGAACAGTCCGTTTTACGCAGAATCTGCAACTGCAGACTACAGGAATCATGGGCGCCTGCAGGAATTTTTCTCAAGGGGCTTAGAATAAAATTGTCTAGACCTGTAGATTAAAAAATGCGCCGCTGTGACTTTGTTCAAGGTCAAATGCCTCCAAATTGGGAGTTAGCCTTCCACCAGGGTAAGATGAAGTGTTCAGAATGACCCACATTTCATGTAACAGAAATGAGAGTCTACAACAATATACAGGGTGTATCTTGAAAGTCTTCACAATAATCCTACCTAACACATATTTCTCAGACCAAAAATATTTGATTTCATGAAATTTACTTCAGTATAAAGTGCTCAGTTACAATTTTTAAATCGATTTTGCTTCATAACTTTGAAACGGCTCATGCGATATCACTCACATATATGATACGAGAAACACATACATATATCTTAATCATGATGAATATCATTGCACGGGCACAGAACTAGATTTTTTTCAGTACATGAACATCTGAAACGTTCATGCCAATGGAAAGAGAGTATTTGAGTATGATGGAATTTGGAATGCGTAACACAGTTGCTACAAATAAGACACTTGAAAAATTCGATTACTCCCATGTATTCCACAAAATCTTAATTATATTACATTATTTTATTAGGATCAAATGTGAAACTTTGTTTGACAAACGATTTTTGCGTTTGCGAGGCGGAGCGACCGCGCACGCAAACAGTCACTTTTCAAGAGCTAATTTTGGAACAAAATGTTTCGAGGTTTGCCTTGTATCAATTTGTTTTAAGTGGAATATGTGGTAGATTTTTGTGCAGACCTACTAAGGACATCCTGTGTACAACAAGAGAGAACAATTTAATATAATATTGATATCATTTTTCATTGTCTATTCATTTCATTCTTGGAATGAAAGCTGTCAATTCTACTCCAATTGGAATGTTATCAAATTATAAATAAACAATGAACAAAAGAATTGAAGTAAATATTGCCGGTCACTATATTAATTCTGGTTGTTGGTATCATTGTTTTTGTAAGCGATAGGAAATTATTGAGAAATTCAATAAACGGAGTGATTATATCTTGATGAAGGTATAAGAAATGCATGATTCTGAGGGCTGGGGGGCAACAGCCCTTCCCTGGCCCCTATCTATGTGCGCCCATGACAGGGATGAGAAAATGCAGTCTGAGTAGAGTATAATTATGCAGAGTCAGTTACAACAACACATCAAACCGCGGGCCGTCGGTCCCTTTGAATGTTCAAAGAGAGCGGCAGCGCGGCCCGACATTCTTTTGATGATCTGTTTCAACTGACTTTGCATAGACACTAGGTGGATTTCACCAACGCTGTCAATATTTTTGACATATTTATGCAAGGCTTGTAGGTTATGTAGATCTTCAACTTTCCAATTGGTGCTTTGAACTCATACGCCACCTAGTGGTAATTGCCATGACATAATCATTTTTCAGATATAATTTGTAAGGAAAGTATGGAAAGTACATTCTCAACTTTCAACTACTCTGTGTATGCGTGTGTAGGTGATGTTTTGGGGTGAAATAGTCACTCACCGTTGCCTCAACTAGACATTATGCAACTAGGCACTAACATACTTGCTCCTGCTATAACGTTTTCAGCTAGTTCTAGGTGATATTTTTTGGTTAATTGAAAGCGTTTGAACGTCTGCGTCTCGGTATGCGTCTCCCGAAATCTGGCAACTCCAGGAGGGCCAAACTGAGGATAGAGCAGGCGCTGCTCTATTGATCTGGCCAGACGGTCTTCTACACATCCTGATCTCGCGAAGGTGGGGCCCCGACCATGCTCTACGGTTATTTGACTTGAATTCGACCCTCGTACAACACTCGCTCTATCAGTTCGTGTTCCCCCACATCGGGGCCCTACCGCGCATTGCTTAGTTTATGGCTTCCAGGCCCATATTCCAAGTCCTAGTGCCCCAGAAGTAGAACTCATGATTGGTTCTTTTTGGAATTTGTGTCGTGCTTGCCCGTCGATGCCTGTTGATAAGGTAAATTCCCAAATTCACGTAAGCACATAGACATATAGCTCTATAACCTACAAAAGCACGTATAGAGCTGCTCCGCCGATGGTATGTTTGGTGACTGTTGAATCGGCATCCTAGCTCGGGCCCTTCACTGGTCTACTTGATATGCCTCATTGACATTCTGTATGGTTGCTCGAAATCAATAAAAAATTCCCCCCATCGAACGTACAAGTCAGCTCTATGACTTTGTAACCTAAAAACTACTATGGTATACCTCTTGAGGCAGGATCTTGATGACTACTACAACAAAACCTCAAATCGTATATTAAAACTGTAACTTTTGTAGCTTGCTCTGATGTTCCATCAGTATTGAGTTATGTTCAAGTTTATCGCAATCAATAAACTTATTTCAGGTGTTCCAGGCATCTCATTAGATATTTAGTTCAAGTTCTAGTGGAAGATTTGGGCTAGCAACCTGATGCAGCAATGCTTGTTCCTAATGAGAGGCACTCTCTTGAGTATATTATTAATTCATTATTTCACTTTTTCAAGTCACATAATCTACGAGGTTGGTACGAACATTCTTATGGTGACTCTACTGCTTGCCAACTTTCCGTAATTTATATTCAATAGATATTTTAGGAGAACGAATCGATGAAAGTAATTCCTGTTTTTTATTCGATCAAAACATTATGTAATGAGTGTTTGATTATGCTCTTAGAACTTCCTGTGTACCTAGAGGGCTCCCTATCCCCTCCATTTTTTATTGATTATTTTCAACCTTGCCCCCCTAGGCAGTTCTGAACTTTTTAGGCAAAAAGTTCTATATATATATCCAGTTATGATTTCTACATTTCGTAGCATCGGCTGGAGATAGTACTGTACGATTCACTGTCGTGTGGCAAATAACAGTACTGCTCCTGAGGTGGTGTATGGAGTCAAGTAACAAAGCCTACACAGAATACACATAAAGGAGCTCTTCTAAGGTCAATGGCCAGTTGGTGTACACACACACGCACTTCAACAAAATACATGTCTCTTTCGGCTTGAGATATTATCACATGACCAAGACCAAGATAGATTTTTTTTTATCTCTGGGTTACACCATGTATTTCAAACTCCTGTTCCTTCGTTCTTCTTTTTATTGTGCGCTGCATGGCCTGGCATACCAATTCCTTTGACGAAATCCAGCAGCTTCCTCAGCTGAATCACGTGCACATCCTTTAAGTGCAGTACAATGCTCCCAAAGGCAGCTTTCCTCTGATGCAACAGCGCGGGGCATTCAGCAAGTATGTGCGGTGATGTTTCATCGTCCTCCAAGTACCATCTGCAGATGGTAGATGGGATCATCTTTGACCCCTTTGAGTTTCAGGTGCCTGTTGAGGTTTTGGGTCCAGTTAGGAGCCCAACTATACCATCTTGAGATCTCTTTTGTTGAGTGACAGAACCTTCTTCGTGAGCCTTCTTAAAGGTTCCTTTATATGGAGCTTTGATCGTCTCATTCCTGGTGGGTCTCGCCATGGAACTGCCTCTGTAGCAATTCGTTCATGAGGAACATTGCCATGCTATTGGGTATTCCCAGTATCGGTTCTGGTCTTCGTTAATTTCTGATAATAGGTTAGATCATCTGAACGACTGTGTGCAATTACATGTCTTCCACTCTACCAAGATTTGAAGTTTTTAGCATAATATTGCTTTCAATTACGCTTGTGATTCTGTTGTGCCAAAATAAGCTCATGGGTTTCCAGTTTCAATCGCACTGCAGCTGTTGGGCACCCATCTTACGTCTTATATTGAATGTTATAGATATTTAAATGAAAAGGAATGCTCAAAGTTATCTCCACACAATTTAATGACGTTGTTGAACAATCAAGGACATGTTTGAGTCTTAGAAAAGACGATCTTCAGCTAAATTGAAGTTCCACAATACAAAACAGAATTGGTATGGAAGAATAATAGTATTTGGTTGACTTACTTGCAGTTGAAAAAACATTTTTTTATTGTTATTATTATTATATAAATGGCGAGATAAAGAAGGATAATACACAAAATCATGTCCACGACAATTTACTGTGGATAATCACATTAAGGGGTACATTTTTCGGACAAACGTGTGTCCATCATCAGCCGCAAAAAAAATTAGTCCTCCAATAGAAACAACTAACTATATCAAAAGGAATTATTACCATAAGAAGGTGAATAAATTGTTGCAATTTTGAAAAACACTAAAACATTGGAAATTGGACTGGTTAATTGTTTTGGATAATATGTAAAGTTGCCATATGACATTTTGGACCCTTCAGTAAAATAGAAATGGCTGACGTCCATCTTGACTAGCAAGCAGTGTCCCAAATGTTGGCTAATTTGAATATTATCCACCATAATGTTATATTTTGGGTTTTTTATTGGTTATTCCCCAATTTGAATGATTAACCAGAAAACATTTCGTTGTTTCTGGTTTCTCAATATAGTAAAACAATTTTCACCTTCATGTAAGCTATCTTATCGTAAGGATTCCTTTATAGTTAATTGTTTCTATTGTAGGACGAATTTTTTTTATCGCTGATGATGAACATATACATAATTATGTACGAAACATGTCCATTAATGTGATTATTCACAGTAAATTGTCGTGGAGATTATTTGCGTATTATTCAGTATTTACCACTGTACTCCATTTTGAGAAATGAAATATCATATACCGAGGTGGTATATGACGGGTGATTGCCAAAGCAATTGCCGAAATACTATCATTTTGAAAATACGATTTTTCTTTCAATAAAGGCAATTCCACTCCATTTCGAGAAATATGGACTTATACAAAAGTATAAAAATATAGTTGGAATAAAAAATTCAGAGTTAGATGGCCTCCAATATCATTTTGCTGGCTTCCGCAGGTGTAAGTTGTGTCTGGCGTTGTTTATTATCGTTCGATTTTCCGGTATACTTGTTTTGTTCCATATTTCTCCTGGGATGTAATCCTACTTGATTTATTGGAAGCGTGAAATTTTCCCTTTAAAATTTCCGATGCGCGAGCTTCAACGAGCACAACTTCAGGGCAGGATTAAGACCACTTGGCGCTTGGGGTAAAATATTTTTTTTCTGTGACTGGAAAAATGTTTGACATTTTATCTCTGTTGACAACTTAGAAAATGTCACTTTTCATTAATTACTTTTTTCCCACGGGATTAACAGGGTGTATGTGAATAACACAGAAAAAATTCAAGGAGTCATTCCTTGTGATATTTCAGGAAATAAAGTTCATATAAACACGTGTCCTATATAACTTGCTTCGTTTTCGAGATACAGGGTATTAATATTTCCATGGAAAATCTTTTTTCTATTTCTCAATTGTCTTCTCATCAATTTCAATAAAACCTTGTGGTTTTGATGATAGTAATATGGAGCTTCTTGTAGTGCAATCAGATTCGAAATAATAATTCCAGTGGCGTCACAGTGGGTAATATTATCGATATTCATGGTGAATGTCATTGTACACCACCGGTTTTTCTGAGTTTCATATCTTCATTAGATTCAACTATAGAAATAACAATTTTTTGTATCCTTTGTGTGTTTTTTGTATCTAGCTCAGTTTTTGAGGAAACAATAAAAATTCGAGTTGACTCCAAATTTGAATAATGTTGGTGTTTTCAAGACTTCCATTAAATTACTAAACAACCACTGTTCACAATTTCTTAAAATCAAAACAGAATTAAATTGACACTTATCCGATTACTCCAAAACTATTTTCGTCCCCTACACATTACAAAAATGAAAATAATAGGTAAAGTATTATTCTTCTCGAATTGTCTCCTCGTTTCAATATGGGCACTTCTCAGTGACAGGTGTTGATGCAAAGAAATGTGTTACAGGATGTTTTCATCAGCTCATCTTGAATTTACTATTTCCAAATTCTAGAAGAAGAATATTTTGAAAACGGAAACAGATTCGTTTTCGAAACGTCGAACGCTAAGTAAAAATTTGATATTTTTTCGATATACCTACATATCCATATTTCATTTCTCGAACATTTTATAAAACACGGTGTCAGTGACAGTCGATTGCATTTTTCTTTTCGGCCCTCTGATAGGAAATTTTTTAACGCAATGACACTTTGGGGTAAATCAACTTGTAATATAAATAAAAGTAAAAATCACAAGGGAGAGATATAAATTAGGGAAACTCGAAACTGGCACGAATAAAAAATATATAACGGATGAAAATATTATTAAGCTCCCTTTATGTCCTTGAGCACTATAAACGCTTCAATAATGAATCGGTCATCAAGACTAATCATGCAGCAAATCATTTTCGATGTTCAAGAGGGAAATGTCGCTTGGCTCTGATGACTGATATATCGATCGAAACCTGTATTTCTAATCACTCTCAGAATTTAGTTACCAGCTATTCTTCTAATAGACCAATTTACATTGGTATATGAAAAGTCAGCAACAAAATCATGAAAAATCATACATTCTCATGGAGTTAGTATTATAATAACGAACAGGCTGTTAAGAAACAAAATAGTAAGCGACATGGAAATATATATACAAACAAATAGATTTATATATATATATATATATATATACAGAATACAACAATCTTGTTTATTCTTGACATGTTTATGATAATTAAATAAAATTAAAATCGGCAAAGAAATAAAATCCTTGATCACTGAGAAATTCTGTTGTGTTTTTGGATGTAAGACAAATTGATATTCATCATACAGGACGTGGAAAGTTCTGAATTGAGAAAACCTGATCACGAATCTGCGATTGAAGGTCTATAAAAATTACAAGTTTCCATCGTTCAAGTTTAAACCCCTTGATTGGGTGAAAGTATTGAAAAGGAATATTCTCAGATAAATTATGAACATGAAAACATATATATATATATAAAGAAATACATTGAGAATTCGTATTCTCCATGTCATGAAAATATCAATTCTTTCTCGGTTTATTCAACAGAAAACAACTACTTTCCTGGCTATATGCCACGACGAATATTGAATTATATCTCTTGAA